GAATTTGAACGATTACTATTGGCTGATGATGGACGACTTGATATTCGAGCAGAAGTTGGTGAGGGCGTCCATTTTTTACCTTCGCATTTTGCAGTTAACTAAATAAATGTACATACAAGTGCGTGTTTAAATGTTTGGAAAAATGATTTAACGTTGGGTAAGAAAATTTGTAAAATTTAAAATATAATTTTTAATAATTATACAAACTTTTTCACGATATTGTGCAGCAAAACTGCTATGATATTTATCTTTTAATGACATCTCTGGATAATAATCTGATGAAGATTCATAAAAATTTCGCCATTCAGTATTACCACCAAGCTATAAATATATAAATATATAAATAAGTTGAATAATCAATTAATTGATAAAATAACAATAGTCTAAATCCAAGAAACCAAATAAAATGTTATCAATTCACTTACTTGCATTTTCTTTATCTGATCATCGTACCATTTGTCCATAGTGATAGAACGAACAAAACTAAATAATCATAATTATAATAACATAAAATTTAATTTTTTTCTTACCATTGTGCTATTACCATTATCACCACCAGTGTTAATTCAAAAAAAAAAAAATAATAATATTCCTCATCTAAAAATATAGAAAAAACATGGATTGAAAGTTTTCTTAAATTACCTAACATGAACTCCGAATGATCGATGGACACCCGAACATTCTAAACAGATAAATATACCAAAAGATACCGAGGCCCATTGTGGATTAGGTGAGCCACAATCTACACAATTCTAAATAGAAATAATAACAATTTAATATAATATAAAGTATATTTATTAAATATTATAACTCATTCATTATTACCTTATTTCCTTCTTGTCTTTGAATATCATATAAAATCTTTTTATATTCAGCAGCCATTGTAATGTAATTCGATTGATAATGAATGAAATGAATGAGAGATGGACGTCGTTTTTTTTTTTTTTTTTGAAAGGTGAATTTTACAATTCTTTGTTTTAAAAATAAATTCAAACTTTGGTGTAACAATTATGTATAAATAGTTGATTGGTTAATAATATTTAACCTGATTAAAAAAAGTAGAACAATGAATTTGTATTGGTATAAAAATGGAATTATAAAACAAGATCTATTTGTTACCTATCCACCACTAACAATTAATATTATTATTCAGTACGCATTCCAAGTCACAGAAAATTGACTCAAATTAAAAATCTTTTATATAAATTTTATTTGATATTGAAGGCCTGATTAATAAATAATAAGAAAAATCTTTATTTTGGTAAATGATAAATGATGCTAATAATCCTTGATTAGTTTCCATCATTGAATAGAGCATTAAGAAATTGTGTGCATTTTATAGAATCAACCTTATACTGTACATTTATAATTTGCCTGAGCTATCTTTATAAGATGCCTTTCCAAAGTTATCATGTCTCTGGTACTAGAAATATTCGACGTCGAGAAAGAACAATAGACATTCTTACAACTAACTGTCTGTGTACCCGAGATTCCGTGTAAATGACATATGGTAAAAGATAGAAGGCCGATGAGAGATTTTGCAGAAATAAATTTTACCATTTTTCAATTGGCACAATCTACTGTATGTCACTGGTTTTCTTCTCCACTTTCCGATGCTTCGGATTAATATCCTTAATCATAATTATATCGGGTTTTGTCCTTGATTTCCAATTAATAATGCAATATTTTGATGTGTGTATGCATATATGATTAATGATTTCATATGAACACACCATTCTTTAATTTTTTTGCTGATAACATTTAAACAAACAAGAATTTTGAAAGAAATATAAATAATAAATAAAATAAATAAGAATTGCAACATTTAATATTAATATTTAGTCAGGAAAATTAATCACAAATAACATTCATCAATGTTAGCAATCTTCTGGTGTAAACAAAACCTAGGTGTACAGTTATTGTAATAGCTGGAGAATTAGTTGGTTAGCGTCCACACATCTGCTGTATATAGGAGAATTATTAAAAGAGCCTGGCCTTATTCCCTCACCAATCTTCATTGCAAGATTAATCAATGATAGTTGACCTGTCGACGCACCACTGACATCAATGTATATGATTCTGTATATTGTGAAATCCAACTTCTCGTGAAAGGTTTTAGAGCGCGTTAAAATGAATGTGCAGTTGGCTTTACATGTGGATAAGTAAACGTTAATGAAAAATGAGTAAATGTCATTTTAATTTTTCAACTATAAAGTAATTTACAATTATTGTAAAGAGCAATAGTTATTATTACGTATGATAAAAGGTTATTTTCTACCTAATTCCTAATTTCGAATCACGTATCACTCACTATTACTATTACTATTACTATGATACGCGTTTGAGATATTTGTTTATTTACAGTGTTTTTGTAAAGCTTTGGATTTTCCATGAGCTTTTTGTAAATTTTCTTTATTAACACTAACACTAATATAAGAATAAACTATGCAACTTCTTATTTATTCGTATTACTTGAATTGCATAATCCAATTCAAAAACGAAAAATTAAAAATATTGCCATGCATATTAACGCTTGCATATCAGTTTTTTTTATAAATATGAATGCACATTTGTTAACGTATAATATAAATAAAGTTGTATATAGCTTATGTATGTTAATAAATTCAACCATCAATTGTATTTAACTGCATTGAAAAAAATGTATCGAGTGTATTTTTTTCTTTATCTTCTTTACCAATAAATTCCTTTATTCGTGAATACCATGTGAAATGTAACCAATGGCAATAATTTGTAAATACTCTCTATTATTACACATTATTTTTGATTTATTATATTAATAAAAATCTAAAATGTGATTATGCTCATTTGGTGATAAGGTTTTGCAACTTCCATAACACCACCAATTACAGAAAAATTATTGTATGTTTAGTATTTTGATTTGTTGGTGTCTTTTTAATAATAGTTAGTCTATGTGTCAACTTTGGCTTTTTATTTCAGAATAATTTGATAGTAAGTATCTTTATCAAAAATGCATTATTGAATTTAAAGTATTTTTCTAGGTTTTTTTATTTAAGATAACTCAGAGTAATCCGCCTGATGAAACTGAGAAAGACAAATCAACAGATGAGGAATTAAAAGTTAAAGAAGAAGAGACTGATGAGCAAGTTGAAATTTATCTTGCAGATGTCATGAAGCAGTTGGAGAAGGAGCCTTTATTTGAGGTATACGGTGTGTCAAAATTTAATTCCAATTCTTCTGCCACATTTTCAATGTTAAACAGGAAAATTCCGTGATTATATTCGATCACAGTCCAAACAAACCGGTCGGCTGATATCAATCAAAGAAAAATCCATTCATCAGCCGTTAAATTTCTCCAATTAAGAATTAAAAAATTTTATAAAAGAACAGTATATTTTTCACATATTTTCAGTACGGAAATGTGCTGAACCTTCCAGCGAAAGTGCACCTTTTATGAAATACACACACTGACAGCATACATACAAATAAATCAAGTATGTCTTTGGGTGTAAAATTATACTTAAAAAAAAAAATTTCATAATAAAATGTTTATTTGGTTCATTAAATTTGTAATAAATAAAATATCTCGTACTTGATAATTATATAAAACCAAACTTGAATACACATCCCACATAATATTAATTATAAATTATCTAATACAGAAATTCAACTGAATATCGTACGTAGAAATATTCCAATGAGTTTACCCAGAAGTTTAAGCAACCCTCCTAACCCAGATATCCCTGCAGCACCAACACTTTGCAACACAGAACAAAGGCCTCCAGCAACAACATATCCACCTTGCGCAGCCATATATGCAGCAGCCCGAGTTCCTTGGATTATTCCATCAGCACCAAAACCTATTGCTCGGATTATTCCGACAAAAATAGTTGGAAAGAGACAAATTAAAATCAATATTCCGATTCCAATAGCAATTTCGATAATGATGCCATAATTTTCTTGGAAAAATTTGATTATAACGTCATAACTGTCTACGAAAAATTTGGCTATAGCATCACCAGCGTCTTTGAAAAATTTGGCTATAGCATCACCATTGTCTTGGAAAAACTTGGTTATAGCATCACCAATGTCTTTGAAAAATTTGGCTATAGCATCACCGATTTCATCAAATATCGTTCTGTCATCGATTGTCGAAAAATCGGTCATGGTCTTGTTGGACATTTCATCAATCTGGTCTGTGTTGTTAACATTTAGCGTGATTTCATTGATGTTTGGATCCTGTACGGAGAATATTGGTGGAGTTTCAATTTTATTCTCATCCAACTGATTTTTGGGTATGGGGGCGCTGACGACAGTTTGACATAATAACAATAATATAATAGCGACAATAAAAATGACTACCGCCTTGTAGGTGCTACAAAATCGAATTTTTTAAAAAAAAATAAAAGCATAAGCGACATATTACGAAAAAGTAAACAAAATTAGTTAGAGCTTACCTTTTATTAGAGTTGTTAATTGTCGCCATTATTATTTTTTTAAAGTTAAATCAATAATATTTTATAAAATTTTTTTTTGTAGAACCTATAAAAAGATACAATGGGCTTTTGGGCGCAGAAAATAACTCCGAAAATGGAAAATTGATCTTTGTATTAGCAACCTTCGGAGTTGTCCTTTTTATTTCCTGCGCCTATTTGATTTGATTGATTACCGATTTTATTATTCCCAAGAGATGTTATTATCTGTTATTATTATTTCTCGAAAACGCTTTTATCATATAGTAGTATTAATATTAATATTTATTTGGGAGAAAACCAAAAAACCATTTTTTTCATGAATACAAATTATAATCCTTCAACCAAAAATGGAGAAGCTTTTGACGAAGCTGATAACAACAATAATATAATTACGAAATAGCAATCATGCATTAAATACGTGTTTATACTATTTATCTTAATTTGCAGGATCAGTATCTTACTCATACAAACCTTTCTAGAATGGATAGATAGATAATCTACACATTTATATGCAATATAATAAATCTCTCTTTATTATGTTTTATTATGTCTTCAAAACCATACCAAATGTTTAAGGGTAGAGCGATCCAAAATATTTTTTGAGAGTAACATCACGTTTTATTTCACTTTGAAGGTTAATAAAATAAAAAACTTACAAATAAGATTTATAAATATATATATTTAAAGGTTTTCTTTTCATTTCAGCACCAACAAACCAACATTAATTATGTAGGTTACTGAGAAAACTCTTTTAAAAATAATATCACATGCAAATTAGTAGGTAGAACTTGTAAGTGAATGGGTTAACAACACAAATGATATATGTTTTTACTAATTACTTAGTTTTTTTAATAGAATTACAACAAAGTCAAGCACATGAAGGGTAGTATGGTGTAATGTAGTGTTTAAATATTAATATATAGTTCACTTTCTATAATGGTTTATGAAAAAATGTCCATTAGAGACAGTAATGTTTTATATATAGAACATATAAATCAAGCTTAAATTCTCATTCTATTATTATTGTTGTTGTAGAAAGAGTAAACTAGTTACTATTTTTTTCTGACACATTTCAAAATTTCGAGTAGTTAAGTTTATATACCACAAGAGTTGAAACTCCAATATGTCCTTTATATTAATGCTAACAGTCATGAAGTACTTGAACAACTTTTAAATTGCAAAATAAAATCATGTAATGCAAAATTTTTTTAGTCATTTTGTATAACAGATTTTTAAAATTGCAAGATAAAATCGTGTAACGTAAAATTGTTTTTAGTCATCTTGTATAACAAATTTTTGTTATTATTATGGTCAATCAATCTACTCTTCTTAATAATGAATTTTCTTTACAAAATAATTTATAAAAAAAAAAAAAGAACCAAAGAAACAAACTAAGAATGGCTGATGAAAATTCATATTTATTGCCAAGAACCTTACCAGACTTGATAGAAGAAAATGAGTTTAATGAAAATGATGAGGTATTTTAATAAAATCTCACAAGTTGCTTTTGGAATTATGTATATTTGTAAATTAAAATGCATCCAATACTAATAATCTTATACTGTGCTTCTCTCCCATGTATTTCAACTGTTCATTTTGATTTAACATAAACCAGATGTAGAAGGTGGTGATCATTATTGTATGAGATTGTTGAAGAAAATGATGCTAAACAATGGAATCACCACCAAAAAGCATAATCACTCAGTTTGATTGAAGATTTTCTCAATATAATCAACACTTGGTAGATTCTGAATAAAGATGGCACCTCAATTAGTTGCAACTAATTGCAGCATATAAAAATTGAATTGTGGTTGCTCATCCGGAAAATATAAAAAAATTTTACATGTGTCAATTGTAAGTTTAATAATAAAGTGTAAAACTTATGTCGGCACTGTAAGATTTACACAATATTATGTCGGCATCGTAAGATTTATGCAAGTTTACGCTAAATTAATTTCCTGATGCTGTTGCAGCATATGAAAATTGAATTGCAGCTAATTGTGATTCCCATCTTTAATTCTGAAATAAATTTATAGTTATAATTTTAGAAGGGTTGAAAATATTGCCCATTTTAATTTTAAAAAAAAAATATTAAGAGTATTTAAATTTAAGCATTTTAATTGTATTTAATTTTAACATTATACTAATATAGGCATTAGCCAATTGTAGCAAAATACTAATATCCGTCAAATATAGGGTTTTACATGTGTCAATTGTAAGTTTAATAATAAAGTGTAAAACTTATGTCGGCACTGTAAGATTTACACAATATTATGTCGGCATCGTAAGATTTATGCAAGTTTACGCTAAATTAATTTCCTGATGCTGTTGCAGCATATGAAAATTGAATTGCAGCTAATTGTGATTCCCATCTTTAATTCTGAAATAAATTTATAGTTATAATTTTAGAAGGGTTGAAAATATTGCCCATTTTAATTTTAAAAAAAAAATATTAAGAGTATTTAAATTTAAGCATTTTAATTGTATTTAATTTTAACATTATACTAATATAGGCATTAGCCAATTGTAGCAAAATACTAATATCCGTCAAATATAGGGTATGAATGTGCAGTTGGCTTTACATGTGGATAAGTAAACGTTAATGAAAAATGAGTAAATGTCATTTTAATTTTTCAACTATAAAGTAATTTACAATTATTGTAAAGAGCAATAGTTATTATTACGTATGATAAAAGGTTATTTTCTACCTAATTCCTAATTTCGAATCACGTATCACTCACTATTACTATTACTATTACTATGATACGCGTTTGAGATATTTGTTTATTTACAGTGTTTTTGTAAAGCTTTGGATTTTCCATGAGCTTTTTGTAAATTTTCTTTATTAACACTAACACTAATATAAGAATAAACTATGCAACTTCTTATTTATTCGTATTACTTGAATTGCATAATCCAATTCAAAAACGAAAAATTAAAAATATTGCCATGCATATTAACGCTTGCATATCAGTTTTTTTTATAAATATGAATGCACATTTGTTAACGTATAATATAAATAAAGTTGTATATAGCTTATGTATGTTAATAAATTCAACCATCAATTGTATTTAACTGCATTGAAAAAAATGTATCGAGTGTATTTTTTTCTTTATCTTCTTTACCAATAAATTCCTTTATTCGTGAATACCATGTGAAATGTAACCAATGGCAATAATTTGTAAATACTCTCTATTATTACACATTATTTTTGATTTATTATATTAATAAAAATCTAAAATGTGATTATGCTCATTTGGTGATAAGGTTTTGCAACTTCCATAACACCACCAATTACAGAAAAATTATTGTATGTTTAGTATTTTGATTTGTTGGTGTCTTTTTAATAATAGTTAGTCTATGTGTCAACTTTGGCTTTTTATTTCAGAATAATTTGATAGTAAGTATCTTTATCAAAAATGCATTATTGAATTTAAAGTATTTTTCTAGGTTTTTTTATTTAAGATAACTCAGAGTAATCCGCCTGATGAAACTGAGAAAGACAAATCAACAGATGAGGAATTAAAAGTTAAAGAAGAAGAGACTGATGAGCAAGTTGAAATTTATCTTGCAGATGTCATGAAGCAGTTGGAGAAGGAGCCTTTATTTGAGGTATACGGTGTGTCAAAATTTAATTCCAATTCTTCTGCCACATTTTCAATGTTAAACAGGAAAATTCCGTGATTATATTCGATCACAGTCCAAACAAACCGGTCGGCTGATATCAATCAAAGAAAAATCCATTCATCAGCCGTTAAATTTCTCCAATTAAGAATTAAAAAATTTTATAAAAGAACAGTATATTTTTCACATATTTTCAGTACGGAAATGTGCTGAACCTTCCAGCGAAAGTGCACCTTTTATGAAATACACACACTGACAGCATACATACAAATAAATCAAGTATGTCTTTGGGTGTAAAATTATACTTAAAAAAAAAAATTTCATAATAAAATGTTTATTTGGTTCATTAAATTTGTAATAAATAAAATATCTCGTACTTGATAATTATATAAAACCAAACTTGAATACACATCCCACATAATATTAATTATAAATTATCTAATACAGAAATTCAACTGAATATCGTACGTAGAAATATTCCAATGAGTTTACCCAGAAGTTTAAGCAACCCTCCTAACCCAGATATCCCTGCAGCACCAACACTTTGCAACACAGAACAAAGGCCTCCAGCAACAACATATCCACCTTGCGCAGCCATATATGCAGCAGCCCGAGTTCCTTGGATTATTCCATCAGCACCAAAACCTATTGCTCGGATTATTCCGACAAAAATAGTTGGAAAGAGACAAATTAAAATCAATATTCCGATTCCAATAGCAATTTCGATAATGATGCCATAATTTTCTTGGAAAAATTTGATTATAACGTCATAACTGTCTACGAAAAATTTGGCTATAGCATCACCAGCGTCTTTGAAAAATTTGGCTATAGCATCACCATTGTCTTGGAAAAACTTGGTTATAGCATCACCAATGTCTTTGAAAAATTTGGCTATAGCATCACCGATTTCATCAAATATCGTTCTGTCATCGATTGTCGAAAAATCGGTCATGGTCTTGTTGGACATTTCATCAATCTGGTCTGTGTTGTTAACATTTAGCGTGATTTCATTGATGTTTGGATCCTGTACGGAGAATATTGGTGGAGTTTCAATTTTATTCTCATCCAACTGATTTTTGGGTATGGGGGCGCTGACGACAGTTTGACATAATAACAATAATATAATAGCGACAATAAAAATGACTACCGCCTTGTAGGTGCTACAAAATCGAATTTTTTAAAAAAAAATAAAAGCATAAGCGACATATTACGAAAAAGTAAACAAAATTAGTTAGAGCTTACCTTTTATTAGAGTTGTTAATTGTCGCCATTATTATTTTTTTAAAGTTAAATCAATAATATTTTATAAAATTTTTTTTTGTAGAACCTATAAAAAGATACAATGGGCTTTTGGGCGCAGAAAATAACTCCGAAAATGGAAAATTGATCTTTGTATTAGCAACCTTCGGAGTTGTCCTTTTTATTTCCTGCGCCTATTTGATTTGATTGATTACCGATTTTATTATTCCCAAGAGATGTTATTATCTGTTATTATTATTTCTCGAAAACGCTTTTATCATATAGTAGTATTAATATTAATATTTATTTGGGAGAAAACCAAAAAACCATTTTTTTCATGAATACAAATTATAATCCTTCAACCAAAAATGGAGAAGCTTTTGACGAAGCTGATAACAACAATAATATAATTACGAAATAGCAATCATGCATTAAATACGTGTTTATACTATTTATCTTAATTTGCAGGATCAGTATCTTACTCATACAAACCTTTCTAGAATGGATAGATAGATAATCTACACATTTATATGCAATATAATAAATCTCTCTTTATTATGTTTTATTATGTCTTCAAAACCATACCAAATGTTTAAGGGTAGAGCGATCCAAAATATTTTTTGAGAGTAACATCACGTTTTATTTCACTTTGAAGGTTAATAAAATAAAAAACTTACAAATAAGATTTATAAATATATATATTTAAAGGTTTTCTTTTCATTTCAGCACCAACAAACCAACATTAATTATGTAGGTTACTGAGAAAACTCTTTTAAAAATAATATCACATGCAAATTAGTAGGTAGAACTTGTAAGTGAATGGGTTAACAACACAAATGATATATGTTTTTACTAATTACTTAGTTTTTTTAATAGAATTACAACAAAGTCAAGCACATGAAGGGTAGTATGGTGTAATGTAGTGTTTAAATATTAATATATAGTTCACTTTCTATAATGGTTTATGAAAAAATGTCCATTAGAGACAGTAATGTTTTATATATAGAACATATAAATCAAGCTTAAATTCTCATTCTATTATTATTGTTGTTGTAGAAAGAGTAAACTAGTTACTATTTTTTTCTGACACATTTCAAAATTTCGAGTAGTTAAGTTTATATACCACAAGAGTTGAAACTCCAATATGTCCTTTATATTAATGCTAACAGTCATGAAGTACTTGAACAACTTTTAAATTGCAAAATAAAATCATGTAATGCAAAATTTTTTTAGTCATTTTGTATAACAGATTTTTAAAATTGCAAGATAAAATCGTGTAACGTAAAATTGTTTTTAGTCATCTTGTATAACAAATTTTTGTTATTATTATGGTCAATCAATCTACTCTTCTTAATAATGAATTTTCTTTACAAAATAATTTATAAAAAAAAAAAAAGAACCAAAGAAACAAACTAAGAATGGCTGATGAAAATTCATATTTATTGCCAAGAACCTTACCAGACTTGATAGAAGAAAATGAGTTTAATGAAAATGATGAGGTATTTTAATAAAATCTCACAAGTTGCTTTTGGAATTATGTATATTTGTAAATTAAAATGCATCCAATACTAATAATCTTATACTGTGCTTCTCTCCCATGTATTTCAACTGTTCATTTTGATTTAACATAAACCAGATGTAGAAGGTGGTGATCATTATTGTATGAGATTGTTGAAGAAAATGATGCTAAACAATGGAATCACCACCAAAAAGCATAATCACTCAGTTTGATTGAAGATTTTCTCAATATAATCAACACTTGGTAGATTCTGAATAAAGATGGCACCTCAATTAGTTGCAACTAATTGCAGCATATAAAAATTGAATTGTGGTTGCTCATCCGGAAAATATAAAAAAATTTTACATGTGTCAATTGTAAGTTTAATAATAAAGTGTAAAACTTATGTCGGCACTGTAAGATTTACACAATATTATGTCGGCATCGTAAGATTTATGCAAGTTTACGCTAAATTAATTTCCTGATGCTGTTGCAGCATATGAAAATTGAATTGCAGCTAATTGTGATTCCCATCTTTAATTCTGAAATAAATTTATAGTTATAATTTTAGAAGGGTTGAAAATATTGCCCATTTTAATTTTAAAAAAAAAATATTAAGAGTATTTAAATTTAAGCATTTTAATTGTATTTAATTTTAACATTATACTAATATAGGCATTAGCCAATTGTAGCAAAATACTAATATCCGTCAAATATAGGGTACATTGAAGCTTGGTTAGTAAGTACTTAAAATGATTACTATTAAACTATTTTATAGGTACTTTATTAGTGCTTTGTTATACATTGTGATGTTTACTCCTCCTGCAGAGAAAGAAAATTGCAATGATCTAATTCATGTTGGAGTTTTCATGAAAGATTGCATTGATTCAGCTGCAAATAAAGGCTCAGACATAAAAGTCTTTTGATGATAGTTACTTTTTTCCTTTTATGTAACTCCTATAATAAAATTTGCTAGAATTGATTTTTATATGATGGAACTTAGTGCTAAAGGACTATATTTCATGTACAACATTAGACAAGTTTTGATTTCTACTTCAGTAAAGGAAATGTCACATTATTTTGAAACTTTTCTTGTGGTATGCGAATTAAATAATATAATAATAATAAGGTAAATATTTATTTAAACATAATTGTATAAATAAAATAAATAAATAAAAAGAAAAGCAGGAATTTAGACGACAATGCTATCCCAGATATCCCTGCAGCACCAATACTCTGTAACACAGAACAAAGACTTCCAGTAGCAACATATCCACCATACAAAGCCATATATGCAGCAGCCCAGGTTCCTTTAACTATTCCGCCAACGCCAAAACCTATCATTCGGACTATCCAGACAATTATTGTTCCCCCAGTAATAATAACTAAAAAGAGACAAATTAAAAGAAATATTGCGATTCCAATGCCTTTATAAATGTCATTGAAAGTTGATTGAGTTTCAATTTCATTTGGTGTAGAGACACCGATGACAGGTTGACATAATAACATGATAATGACTATAAAAATGACTACCACCAAGTAGACACTATAAAATGAAATTTAAAATAAATAAAGCATAAGCAGTATGTATCAAAAAGTAAAAAAAAAAATTAAGAGTTTACCTTTTATTGGATTTATTAGAGTTGTTGGTCATTATTATTTTCTTGAAGTTAAAAATCAATAATATTTTATAAAAATATTTTTATCCATAAAAAGGTACAATGAGCAAGCATAAATTTAGAAGCGCGCATTTTTTACTCTATCTTGTGTAACTGAATTGAAATGAAATTTTGTTTGGATCCTTCATTTATTTTCGGAGTTTACTTTACGGATAACAATTTCAAAGTTTTAATATTAATGTGAATGAAAAAGTTCATTCGGGGAAAGAAAAATCATCTATCATCAACTGAATACAAAATTTTAGACAGTAAATTCTTTTTACAGTATTAACAATAATAATACGCAACAGTTAATTGACTACGCATTTTAAAAAAAAAATTTCATTGACTACTAATACTAATACTAATGTAAAGATTTTAACATAATACCAATAAAGAAATAATTTGCAATCTGCGTATCAAAATTTTTTTATTATATTATTTTTTGTTTTTCAACAAAATAAAATTGATTGATTTTCTATTTTCGGAGTTGGTATTCTCTGCGCCAAAATGCCATTGTATCTTTTTATAGGCAAAAAAAAAATATTATAAAATACTATTAATTTAACTTCAAGAAAATAACAATGGAAACAACAAACTACTCTAATAAAAGGTAAGCTCTAACTAACTAATTTTGTTTACCATTTTGTAACATGCCGCTTATGCTTTTATTTTTTTTTAAATTCGATTTTGTAGCACCTACAAGGCGGTAGTCATTTTTATTGTCGTTATTATATTATTATGTCAATCTGTCGTCAGCATTCCTGTACCCGAAAATCAGTTGGATGAGAATAAAATTGAAACTCCATCAATATTCTTCGTACAGAATCCCAACATCAATGAAATTGTTAACACTCACCAGTTTGATGAAATTCCCTACAAGACCACGACTGACTTTCCGGCAGTCGATGATATAACAAAATTTTTCAAAGACATCGGTGATGCTATAACCAAATTTTTCGAATTCAATTTTGGTATCATTATCGAAATTGTTATTGGAATCGGAATATTTATTTTAATTTGTCTCTTTCCAACTATTTTGGTCGGAATAATCCGAGCAATAGGTTTTGGTGTTAAAGGAATAATTAAAGGAACCTGGGCTGCTAAATGTATGGCTGCGCATTGTGGATATGTTGTTGCTGGAAGCCTTTGTTCTGTGTTGCAGAGTATTGGTGCTAAGGGAATATCTGGGTTAGGAGGGTTGCTTAAATTCCTGGGTTAACTCATTGGAATATTTCTACGTACGATGTTCTGTTGTTGAATTCCTTTTAGAATTAATTTTATCATTGTATTAGATAGATAATTTATAATTAATATTGTGTGGGATTTGTGTTCAAGTTTATAGTTTTATACAATTATCAAGTTCGAGATATTTTATATTGAATTTCTTTTTTTACAAAATTCAATGAATCAAATAAACACTTAATTATGAAATATGCTTTTAGTATAATTTTACATCCCACATACTTGAAATTTTCCCTTTTTTTCCCATATGTATCCGTATGCTTTCAGTGTGTGAAAACATACGGAAAAGTGCTCTTTTGCTGGAAGAATAATAGTAGTTAATAATAATATTAGCAACAATGAGCCTTTAAATACTTTAAATAATAATGGTGAATTATTTGATTAATTCTTGGCCGATTGAGAGTCAAATAAACTACAATTTTTTATTATTTGAAGATAATAAATTGTAAATACTATTAATAAAAAACATAAAAAACATTATTAACATCAAACTATTAATTACCTTCCAAACTGTTTGAGCAAATCCATCCAAACACACATAAACATAAATTTGATATAAAAAATTATTACCAGAATGAGAACGCAGCTACATAAATAAAAATGCAGATTATAAAATTTACATTATTCAAAAGTATACTTTTCATTCGTTAACTATAGGGAAATGACTTACAGCTCTTTTTTACAACAAACTATTATATATGGATTTGATATGAGTGAACAATTTCAAATTAAACCTTCTACTAGTAGAAAAAAAGGTAGAATACTGTGATTCAGAAGGTCATTGCAAAAATTTGTACCTCGGTTATATAACATTTAAATTTAGTATGTATTAAGTATTACAATAAATTAATTGTTAATGCAAAAAAAAACAAAACAACAAAGACTAAAATTTGCTCTCATCCCAAGCATAAAATATATTTGACTATAGAATAAAGAAACACCTCATTTAAAAAAGCATCTGGAAGACTAATTAAATATTTTGAATTATCTGAGACAGCTGTAATGTGCTATCACTGTTTATTCAAATTATTTACCACCAATTAAAAGAACTTCAAAAGAATATATATACATTATTATCATTATTATTTAATTCACACACTACAAGGAAAGTTTCCAAGTCATCAATGAAATGTGATATTTCCTTTATTAAAATAGGGAAATTTGTCTGACTAAATATAGTCTTTTTAGCACTAAGTTCCATCATGTAAAAAATTAATTCTATATTCTAGAACAAAGTCAAATTTTTGATGTAATTTAATGTAATATTGGTGATACTAATGTTAATAAGCATAATAATTAGTATTTATTATCAATTTTATTTATATTAATATTTTTTTTTAATATCAAATATAAAATATTTTACTTACAGCACCCATTCATTAATAATGTCATTATCCCAAGTAAGTTGAAACAGTCCATGATTTTTATCCTGCACCATGATTTTTTTTATATGGAAATGTATAATTTTCTCAAGCCATAAGCATTATATATTCATTGATTGAATGTAATAATGATGATGATGATATCAAGGGATTTATTTAAAATTTAAACTTCAATATCACTTTCTCTTGAATCTACACAAGTAGAACCATCATCATCATTAGTATCATCACCATCATCATCAGAATTATTATCATTAGTAGCATTACCATTATTGTTACTATAATGATAGTGAACCGAGTTGTTAAAATCGAGGTAATTATAGTAGTTGATGCGTAGCATTGAAATTGTTGTTGTTGTTGTAAATGTTGAGAGGAAACATTTGTTTTGAACGCGAAAATCACGTGAGTGATCTTCCTATACATTAAATACAGAGCCAGTCTTCCGTACATTAGTATTATTTAAAATTATTCTTTGATGTGACAATAATAATAATCATGGCAATGGTGATGGGTGGGTGATGATATCAACAATAACAATAACATTAAGTAGTAATATATGTGTAATGATCAACGTTCATGAAATTTGTGATTAGAACCAATAAAAATTAGTGATATGGATAGTGGGTTACACCAATTCAATTCAAAGAATGTCTAGTAAGTGTAATCCCCTTCCCTTGCAGAAGTTCTGAATGCTTATTTCACCCCTCCTTTGTGTAAAGGCCTTTCATTTTCACCCTTACTTTGTTGGAAGTGTCTCTTGCTTCTCACCCTTCCTTTGTGCAAGTGTCTCTATTTTTCGTCCTTCCTTTGTGCAATTGTCTCTTGTTTCTCACCCTTCCTTTGTGGAAGTTCTTTTTGTTTATTTTGCCTCTCTTCGTAACATTATAGATCAATTCAACCAATAATATACAACTATTGTGCCAAACCTAACCAAGCTGTGTATATGAAAGGACAGTTAATTGGTATAAACAGATATGATATTGAAGAGTGGCTAAAAATAAAAGAGGGTCAAATATTATAGTGGATAAATACATGTTAATTCCAATTACTAATAACAAATTTTGCTAATTTTAGATTTGTACATATTCGTTTTCATACCCATCAGGAAATTTAATATTATATAATTTTTTATGCAAATATTACAACTTTACATATTAAAACCCATGGATGTAATATTACAGTGGGAAATTTTTCCAGATGCCCATGAAGAGGCATGTGGTTTTCATGAGTTGACAAGACAAAGATGGTATAATGGACTAAATAACATACCAGTATCATAACTGAGTATAGCAGTGAGATATGATGGTAATGATAATAATGATGATGATGAACATAATGAACATAATATAATGTAAGGGTAAATGTTTTAATTAATATTTATTAATGATTAATGATTGATTAATGAGCTGTTTTTCATTTTTCTGTATTTTTTTATTTAGGAATCACCATCATCACCATCAACAGCAAACATGTCACCATCAACATTATCATCAACAACATCATTATCAAACATGTCAGCATTGACATCATCATCAACATAAGGTTGTGAGCGAAACTTCTCCAGAAATCAATTGACAGAGTTTCCAACAGGTTACACATTAATTATTTATTAGAGTTTCAGCATTATTATATTTGATGTTAATGAAACAACAAATAAACAAAGATAATAAATAAATAGTTTTTATTGCTTTCCCTAAGTGAAATAATTAATTTTATTACAAATATTGTGCTTTTCTACCCATAATCCCAAGCTGGCCTTAAAGTCATGTTTGACTATCAAAAGTTGAAATCTTTTAATGGCTATGATTTTTTATTTTATAAATAATCGTCAAACCAATTAAAATTATGTGATAATTTGAAATAAGATTGACAAAAATTTGGCCAATGAAATAATTATTTTGTGATATGCAACACCATCCACATGTACTTGGATGATTTGGAAATCCTTGCCAATAATAGATTCATAAGTGTTAATGGTATTCTAAGAAATTATTTTACAGAAGGCTTCAATAAAGGATTGTCAGAAGGCAGGTTTAAATATGAGTTAATATTATCATGTAGGTAAATATATTAGAAGCATAAACATATAATCAATTAATTAATGAAAGATTCAAAACTAACTAATCATTCAAAAATACCATCGAAACTGAAGAACCACTACAAATTATAATGAATGGAGTAATTAAAATCACTATATATAAAATTTTTTTCAGTGTGTTTTTTTCTTTGAAATAAAAAATAAAAAAAAGTCAAACCAAGTAAGTGTTATTTATTTTTAAAAAAAGAATGGTGGTTATTTCTATTTGTCATCACTCTAGTTTTTTTTAAAAATCTATAGAAAAAATGCTATATTATAAAAGCAATAAAAACACTTTTCTAACCTGGAATATGTTGTTTTTTATGACTTTCCTTAGAAGAACATACAATCTTAGAAATCAAGAAAGATTGAATTATACCGAAATCTGACCCAGATATATACTATGTACAGTGTGTTGTGAAAAAAATTGCACATAAATAAAAACATATATCTCAACAATCATGCATTGAAATTAGATAAAAATAGATTCATTTGAAAGCCCATTATTTATTTTATTAGATGCAGAAAAATTAATAAGAAATTCTATCTCCATTTTTTTGTAATATTAATTCACAATGACTTTTCATAGATTTAATTAAATTTTGTACAGTTTCTTGGGGGATTTTATCCCATTCTTCAATCATAAATTGTTTCAACTCGCTAGTATTTCCTGGCATTCTTCTTTCTACATTATTTTTTACGATCTGCCAAATATTTTCAATGGGATTCAGATCGGGACTGTTGGATGACCAGTCTAAAACATGAATATTATTTGGGATAAAAAGTTTTTTGCAACATGCGAAGTGTGCTTAGGATCATTATCTTGCTGCAAATGCCAGTTTCTACCATACAGCTGTTGAGCAGCAGGAAGAAGCTGGTTTTGCAAAATATTCACATAAAAAGGACCATCCATTATTTCTGTAAAGCAAAACAAGGGGGTCTTGCCATTCAATGAAATTCCACCCCAAGCCATTACCTTTTGTCATGATTTTGGTAATCTTCTAACTGGTCTTTCTCCATTTTTATACCATCTTGAAATTTTATTGCGAAATAAATTGAAGGCAGTCTTGTCTGTAAAAATGGTATAATCCCAGTCATCATTCAAATGAGTTTGTGCCCATGTTTTTCAAGCATCAATATGACTAATGGTAAGCATTGGGGTGGAAAGTGGTATGGCACTATTATACCCTTTTTTTGCCATGTGTCGCCAGATATTAGTGTGTGAAATAGATATATTATGTGTATCTTGAATTCGAACTGCAAGTTGGCGTGTTGTAATTGCAGAGTTATGGTGAACTAATTGCCCGATTGACCGTGAAACTGTTTGTATAACCTTAGAACAGTGACCATTACCGCCAATATGTTTAATAATACCTTTTTCTTTGAGTTTTTTGATATTATAATTTTTTTTTCACATATATAATTATATAATTAATAAAATAATAATAACGTTTTAATATATTATAATCTATTCATTATTTGCGCTACCAATAATGATAAAACATATTACAGTCAACCCCCATATGCACCCCATAAATGCACGCCCTCTCTAAATGCACGCTCACACTCATTCCCGAGCTTGGGATTTAAGAGATAAGTGCACCCCTCCATACATGCATTGCACGGTTCTTTTTTCATTCCCAACTATATAAAACCACCCTCCCTAAATGCACTCCTGTGACTTCACGTGATATTTGCAATGAAAATTGTGCAACATGTTATAATGAATTTTTTTCAAAAAGTTCAAGTTTGTATTTTTATACAATACATTAATTTTTTCCTTTTTCTACAATACATTCATTGTTTGATCTTTTTACAAGAGTACATTTATCATCGATCCTTTTCTTTTTTACAATATATTTATTGATATTTTTTTGCAAGAATAAAATTTGTTGTATTTTTATTTGATCTTTTTTACAAGAATACATTTGTTGTATTCTTATTTGATCTTTTTTAATTTCCTTTACAAGATGTCTGAAACTGCTCGTTCGCCATATTTTATTTTATATCTTCTATCCAACAAATATTAAATTGTTTCTTTATAATACTCTTTAAAGGTTTCAAATGGTAATGATAATTAATTAAATAAAATAATTGACTATTATTAACTAACAGTTATTACTTTCTTTGAAGTGAATGGTTAGTTTATTTTAAAAACATCAGATTGTTTTTCAGAATATAAATAAAGCTTAAAAATTCATATACAAAATTAAAAAAAATTCATATGCAAAATTAAATTTTTTAAAAAATTATACATGAAATTAAAGCAGATTCTTTTTCTAATAATAATACCTACCGTATCTAACCATTTAATTTTTGCATTCACACTTCTCTCATTAAAATATTTGTTCTTTTATTGCTTTTATATAAAATGCCTCCAAAAAGTAGAGTAACTTTATCTGATTCTCAAAAAGCATGAATTTTGTTTATTTGCTAACAATAGCAAATTAACTAGAAGGAAATATGCTAATTGGATTGAACAAAAATAGGGAGTTAGAGTAGATGAAACAACCATAACAAGAATTCTGAAAAAAAGAAGAAATACTTAATACTGAAGTTACTAATCCAGATGCCAAAAGACATAAAAATGTAACAGTCCCTGAACTTGAACTAGCCCTCAAAGAATTTATTTTAATCTACCAAAACAGATCCATCTTAAGTGAAGCTATTTTAATCGAAAAAGTCAAGCAAATAGCAAGTGGATTGGGAGTTCCAGAAGGAACGTTGTCATTTTCTCCTGGATGGCTCTATAAATTCAAAAGATGTAATGGAATTAAAGAAAGAAAGCTTCATGGAGAGGAATCATCAGCTGATCTAAATGCAATAACTGAAACCTTACAATTGTTAAAAGATAAATGTGCAAGCTATCCACCTGAAAGAATATACAACATGGATGAAACAGGTCTTTTTTATAGATTAGAACCAGATCAAACATTAGCTACACAAAGACTTTCTGGACATAAAAAAATAAAGAAAGAATTTCAATTTCTTTGTGTGCTAACTCTGATGGATCACACAAATTAAATCCATTAATAATTGGAAAGTATAAAAAACCATGATGCTTTAATAATGTTAACATAAATAACTTACAAATGACATATCATAGTAATTCTAAGGCTTGGATGTTAACAACCATTTTCCAAGACTGGCTTCAGGAATTTGACAAAGAGGTTGCTAAGAAACATAGAAATCCACATGCCTTGCTACTTCTTGATAATTGTCCAAGTCATAAGATTGATGGTTTAGTTCTTCAAATGTTGGGATTCATTTCCTCCCTCCAAATACCACATCAAAAATCCAGCCAATGGATGCTGGAATTATTATGTCTTTCAAAAGACATTATTGACATTTACATATCAACTGGATTCTAAGTCAAGTTGAAAAAGGAAAAAATATAAAAGACTTAAAAATGGGTGTATTTGCAGGCAATACATTATATTATTAAAGGGTGGAGTGAAGTCACACCTGAAACCATCCATAACTGCTGGAATCACACCAAAATTCTTCCTGACAGAACCAATATTAATTTAACTAACCTCTCTGATAACAATTCAACAATAAATCAGGCTGTTGTTACTCTTAACCTAAATGATCCAATGCCTGTTGAGGAATTCTTGAATAATCCAGAAGAAGAAATTGTATATGAAATTCCTGAGGATGATAAAATTGTTGAAATAATTGTGGAAATGTATAAGCAGCAGACAGAAGTAGGAAGCAATAATGACGAAGGAGATGAAGATGATAGTGTTGAACAAGTATTAATAAGTACTAGTGAAGCTTCAAAAAGTTTGGAAATTGTCCATGCATTTTTATTACAACAAGAAAATACTAATGAACAAGTAAAATTAGTTAATTCTCTTGAAAAATTTATTAATTTAAAAAAAATAAATACAATGAAACAAACTACAATAGATAGATTCATGTCTTGAAAATTATCTTTCTTTCTTCTAACAATAAATGGGGCATACTGTAACAAAACCAGACAAAGTGAACATTGGTATTACCAGAATTACAGGGATCCATATTGTTTGTTTCAGGGTTGGCAAATGACCAGGTCCATTGTGACCAATGGATTTTGGACTAGGTCCATTGGATCTATTGCTGGTCCATCAATTTCTGGTCTATCAATGGTCCATTTATTTCATTGGCTATCCAGGGGTGTGATGCAATAGACCATCAATGGATCAATGGACTTCCTGATCCATTGATGGTCTATTGAAAATTTCCTAATATGGATATATTATTACACAAATAGATCACAAAATGACCAATCCATTGGTCCATTGGTGGTCCATTGGTCCATTGATTTATTTTTTTTTATTTTTTATTAAATCAAATATTTTTATTTTTTATTAAATCAAATATTTTTATTTTTTATTGAATCAAATATTTTTATTTTTTATTAAATCAAATATTTTTATTTTAATCTTTATTTACAAAAAATTTACAAAAAATTAATCATTATATATTATAGGCAATATATCAAATATGAAATCTGGTGCGTCGAGACCAGCAGGAAACAAATCTGTCAAAGTCCACTTGGCCCTTTTATTTTCTGCTGGGTGTGATTCATCTAATGGAGCATGTTGTTCCATTTCATCATCAATATTTTCATTGGAAGTCATGCTAATCCATTCATCTACTAACATCTGCCATTCTTCTGTAGAATTAATAAATCCTTCATCACCATCACCATCACCATCATCATTATCCCCATCAATATTTATTATTTCCTTTTCCAGTTCTTCTAATTTTAAATTTAATTAATTGATAAATATAGGTTATATTATATAGACTTAAAGTATTCATTATAAATTTACCTAAATCTTGATAAGTTTCTTCTGGGTTTGAATTATGATCATTTGTTTCTGTCACAAAGTCATTTAAATCTTCAGTTTGAAGTTTGTTAACAGTTGATTGCATTTTTAAATTAATTATATCACCATGGATCTGGCTTATTTTCAATACCTTTTCATACTATTAAAAAATATATATATATATATTAAAAAAAATTTGGATTGAATAATCTTAAATGATTTTTTTTTTTGACTTACATGAAGACGGTTTCAAAGAGGTGTGTGTATTAACTTCATTTTTGAAAATAATCTCTCCACTGGAGCAGAGTTGACACACATACCAAAAATATGACATGCTAACTTTGCAAGTTCATTATTATCTCTTGACAAGGAACCCCAGTATAATAATAAATCACCTTTATATTGATTAAAAATTTCACTAGAATAAGGAAATTTCATTTGATTATATCTTTCAAATTCGAAAAGGATTGATGTAGGTTTTTCGTTAATCCATGAATCATAATAATAAAGAAGCCATGATTTTAAAGAAAATGACAATCTTGGTATAATATTTGAGTCAAATTTTTCTGCCCTATAACTTGGATGAAGCCAAAAAGAAAGAATAAGTATAGGTTGCTCCCAAATACTCCAGCACCTTTCTAACCTAGTTAACATTTTTTGTCCAAATATCTGATCTGGGTAGCTCTTATATAACTTAACAAGGTATCCAAAAGAGTGGAAAACTTCAAAAAGTCTAGCATTATTAGATTGAAGCTTATCTAATGCATTACATAATGGAACCAGAAGATTTCGAAGAGTTTTAATATATCCCCAAAAAGACTCAGAATCAATAATTTCACATATAGCCTTATCTAAAGTTAATTCATTTCAAGTTCTGCGTTCATATTTTGTAACTAAAATCTTAAATTTTAATAAATATATTATTTGAAATTAAAATAAATACAAAAAGGAAAATATTATATACAGAAAGGTTCTTTTTATGGAATATACAGAACCCTACCAAAAATAGCAATTCATTCTATAAAAAAGGAAACTAAATTGTAGCTCAAAATTTTTGTAAAACCAATGTGACATTTATCACAGACGTGATGATTAAATTTGTGGGCTGGGGGTGGCAGGAATTACACAGTGTTTACCAACTCTAAGAATTAATCCTTATTTGTCACATAGGTTCTGTATATTTCATAAAAAGAACCTTTCTGTATATAATATTACCCATACAAAAAATTTAATAAATATATTATTTGAAATCAAAATAAATACAAAAAATATAAAAATATATAATTATGTACTAAAACATTATTAATTACTTCTAATGCTTGTTTGCTATTTATAAGGCTGGTAAAACATCTATGGTAACTATTCCAATGAGTATCACCAGGACGCTGTAAGGAAATATATTTTTTATAAAGAATCTTTTGTTCTTTACATAGTTTTCCCATAAAATATGCTGACTTATTGAAAAATGAAATAATTTTTATAGCCTTCTCTGAAGCCTCTTCAAAATCTATTGATTCTTTAAAAATTTCACCTACTACTAGATTGATTTGATGTGCGAAACATGGTAGGAAGGTTATATTTTTGTATTTCACTCTTAAGGTAGATCTAAAAAAATATTATTTATTAACATTTTGAATAACAAAAATATAAATATATAAATTAAATATATAAATAAATATATAAACCAACCTTGCTGATGCAAATCCACTTGCTGAATCAGTGACAATGCAAATAATTTTTAATTCTTTATTATCATTTAACCAGGACTCAATTTGACTTATAGCATCAATTGCTCTAGATCTTTCACCCGAAATATCTACTGCATTCCAAATTACACTTTTACCTTCAGATGTGATTATTACCAATCCTAGAATTGATTGTTTGACACAATTTTTCCATCCATCAAACAAAACTGTTAGACCAATGTTTTCTTCTTTTACCATTTCTTGTAATTTTATTCGCACCATATGTGATTCATCCTCGAGTATTCTGTCACTTAATGATCTTCTTTTTGGTAAATTTAATCCCTTATTGGCAAAATTTAACATTGCCTTTGCTTCAGGGTTATCGACCCAATTAAATGACCACCCACAAGAAATAGTTGCTCTTAATACCAATCTTTCCCATTGCTTCTGTGAATCTTCTGATAACTTTCTTGGCATGTAATATTGTATTGTGTTTTCTCTAGGATTATTTTCAAATTGAGGAGGCAAATTATTGTTTAAAAATTTTAATCCCTGGAACTTATTACGAATAGATTTAGAAGAACTTGCAACAGATACAAATTGTAATTCATCCACTTCTAAAATATAATCAATTTCAAATTAAAAATAAATAAAATAAATTCAAATTAAAAATAAATAAATTATTGAAAATAAACATTTAGTTACCTGAAATTTCACTACCATCATTATCAATATTAATTATTTTCCTTTTTTTGTGTTTATTTTTTACTCTTTCTTCTTTTTCTTCTTCATCTATTTTTCGTAAAAATTCATTTAAAGCCTCACTTGAAAGTTCTGCTTTGAAATAATCACAATGCTTCAAATGATTCCTGCAAATCTTTTTTTTATTTGTAATTACTTTGACAGAAGTTGCAGGTTCCAGATTTTTAATACAAGCTTTACATTTAGCACCATAATTACTTTTATTTACTCTTTCTTTTGTGATTGTAAAATATAAGGTCCACTGGTGCTTTTCTTTGCCTCCATATATAGTCATTTTAATTATAATAATAACTATTATAATTATAATTATAATATTATTCATGAAAAAAATGAGAAAATTTTCTTTTTGAATTGGTGATTTTATTATTATAATTATATATATAATTATAATATTATTCTTTGTGAAAACTTCTTATTTTTTGAATCAGTGTTATTAATTATAATGTTATTGTTGAATTGATGATGGTTATGATTATAATAATTATAATGTTATTCTTCAGTGTTATTAATTATAATGTTATTGTTGAATTGATGATGATTATGATTATAATAATTAAAATGTTATTCTTCATGAAAAAGTTGAATTGATGATTATTGTTATAATATTTATTCTTTGTGAAAAAGTTCTTTTTTTTTGAATTGATGATTATTATTATTTATTTTCGTGAAAAAGTCTTTTTTTTTTGAATTGATGGTTATTATTAATTATAATATTTATTCCTCGTGAAAAAGTTCTTTTTCTTTGAATTGATTATTCTGCATGAAAAAGTTTTTTTTTTTTTTTTGAATTGATGGTTATTATTATAATGATAATATTTATTCTTTGTGAAAAAGTTCTTTTTTATAATTATATTTATTCTTCATGGAAAAGTTCTTTTTTTTGAATTGATGATTATGATTATAATTATAATATTATTATTTGTGAAAAAGTTCCTTTTTTTTTGAATGGTGATAATTATAACATTTACTCTTTGTGAAAAAGTTCTTTTTTTTGAAATAGTGATTATACTGAAAAATTCTTTTTTTTATAATGTAATTCTTTATAATTTATTTCTTTCAATTAATAAAAACAAAAGTAATATAAACCTTTTGCTAACAGAGTTGTTTCGGGGAAAATTTTTTTTGATGAAATACTTACACAAAAGATGAAGATATTTACACAAGATGAAAACAAATCAATGGACCACCAATGGACCACCAATAGACCAATGGATTGGTCATTTTGTGGTCTATTTGTGTAATAATATATCCATATTAGGAAATTTTCAATAGACCATCAATGGATCAGGAAGTCCATTGATCTATTGGTGGTCCATTGGTGGTCCATTGCATCACACCCCTGGATAGCCAATAAAATAAATGGACTGCTCAATGGACAGATGAAGGTCCATTGGAAATTCTAAATAGACCAATAGACCAAGTGAGCATTTGACCAATGTCCATCAGTCCATATGTCCATCATGCCAACCCTGCTCTGCATAGTTCATCCAACATTTGGTTAACAAAATGGGTTCCCTGGTCTGTCAACAATATCTTAGGACAACCATGACGACTTATAATATCTTCATAAAAGAATTGCACCACCGAAGCAGCTTTGGCGTCAGGAATTGCCCTAGCTTCTGGCCACT